TTTTTCACATGGGCGCCGTGGCGTACTATATCTAAATTACCAAATTGCAATAATACGGCGTTCTTTCTACAACTAGATCTACAAATAAATGTATTATTAAATAGATAGAAATAGAGGTATGGGCTTTAAAAAAAAGAAGAAAATAAAAACCAACCTTTATTTGTTCATCAGCACTTTATCTACGAGGTGGTTTATTTCTTATTGACCGAATCAAAGCGTATAGGGCCTATAGAACTTTTAAAAAGAAGTATGAAAAGATGTGGGTGTCATGGGAACCTCCCATAACCACCCTACCCTCTCTCTCCTCCCGAATCCCAATACCAACACCCCCCCCCGCCCCCCCTCAGATATATGAGTTTGGCATTACATTAAATCAGGATGAGCCATAGGGAAAAAAAATTCCAGAGTTTTTCAGCCTTTAGCTGTAGGAATGCAATGAAGCTCTTGATAAAGCAAATTCAGTCAAACAAATGATGAATACATGTGCTGGTATTTTTAAAATCGAGTTAAACTTTCCCTTGTGACATTTGAACAGGAAACTGTATTTTTCATTCATATGTTCACTTTTTTAAAAAGTATACTAAATTTGAAGTAGTGTTTTCTTATGTCGGTATTAAACTTTGGTTTATATTGATTTTAAGAACTAAAGTAGACCACAGCACTTAAACTAAAGCAAGTCTAATTTTGGACATTAGTAAAACAACTGTGACAACTCTGAACTCACTAAAGATAAAAAAAGCGAACTTAAATGTTGTTTTGTAGCCTAGTCAATTGTTTTTCTACTCAGTGTAGTATTAACTGAAACAAAAACCTTTACTAAGGTGTTTTTGGACAACATTCAATCAAACAAAACAATAAAAAGTACACTATTTCAGTTTGATAAAGAAATTTCCTGCCCATTGTGAAAAAGATCTAGCTGCTAGTCAACCTTAACTTCACATAGCCCAGAACCTTACTGATGGCTCTTTATTTAAAAAAAAAGAAACCCAGAGTGACTATTTGTGTCTATAAGACATATTATGCACTAAAAATAGATGATGTAATAAAAGAAAACAGACATCACTGAACTGCCTGACAGAAGTGACAGAACCAGTAAGACGTTAATCTAGAAAGGGACAAGAGGTTTCACATGCTTGCACAGAGAATCGCTTTGAATCAAAACATAACGTTAGAATCAAATAAAACACGTAAGACTAAGAGCAGAGACACGCCCACTCACATGTAAACAAACGTTTTAGCCACATTAAAAATGGCCGCCAACAAACTCAAATGTGTCCATGTCACGTGACCTCGCACAGACTCTAGTTTAAAAGGGGGTAACTCTATGATGTAGTCTGTTTCGACGTTCCAATCTATCGTCCAGTCTTCTTTCGATTTCGATCAGGGAGATTCCCAGTCATTGGCTTGACTGCAGATGTGCAACGCCTCGAGTGACCTTAATACGTTTCTTCACCATCAACTAAATAATGAAAAATTGCTAAAATTTATGTAACAACACATCAAATCGCGAGCAGCCTAGCTTGTTTAGAGACTCTGATTCCGAATATGAAATCAGTTTTTACCTGCGATAATCATTTTTAAAATTTTGAGCATAAAGTTTAATTCTGCGCGGCGGCAAATTTTAAAGTGATTCGTCACAGCACGTCTCCTCCCAAATCTGACCGTGATCGCACCGAAAATATCAAGCAGTGCTTGATTTCTCGAGCGAGTCTCCAAGCCATCGTCCAATCGTCCAAACTTTGTACAACTTTGTGATTACCCCTGACGATTGGTCTCATGATCGATAGATCGTCCAGTTTTTGTACAGTTTATCGTTGCATGTAACCAGGGCATTAGGTTTGATTTCACTCGCAATGACCTAGCGATGAAAACAAAAGAAAGGTGGCAGGTTGACTTACATGTACAGAATCTTGTGTTTTGTTCTTGATCTTTGATGAGGAGTAAGAGGAGGACATGCTTTCGTACTTATGCAACGTCTAGGAGGAGGAGGAGGAGGAGGAGGAGGATGAGGAGGAGGAGGAGGAGGAGGAGGAGGAGGAGGAGGAGGAGAGGAGGAGGAGG